ATATATATATATATATATATATATATAGGATAAATATATTTGTAATTACTATATAAGTGAATGTATACATATATGTAAATTTATTTTAATTATAAATTAAATATATTTATTTTCTCCTCAAGGTTGAGGAGAATTGACGCTGTGGCCTCTGTGCTTTGGCTCCTGGTGATATGTTTTTACCTGGCCGAGTGTTACCTCAAGACGGACATCCCTGATTGGTTGGAAACGGTCAAGTTGGGTATCACTTCTGTGTGTTGTCTGGTGGGATTCGCTGCCGCTGTGGCAACACGCAAATCCATGAGTCAGAGAAGAGCCAGAGGTCGCAGGTCAGAATCTGAGCAGTGACACTAAGATAAGATATTTTATGGGATCTGTAATCGAGGACACTTTTGGTACATGTAGAATCAAGAGTTTGATTTTTTTTTTTCTCAGAACATTTTCCTCCCAAATGTATTCAGTTTACACTAACTATCTAATGCACTCATTATAAACCTCCATGGCCAAGATGTTGCTAAATAGGCCTTTTAAACGCCATGCTGATATATAAAAAAAGTAGTCTGTGTGGATGAGCTTGCTCAAAGTACTAGAAAAGGATTGTTTATGGTCTTTTTGTAGCGCTTGACATTACCACCATGCCCCTAATTTGACAAGGCAGAACATGTCAATTTTACCTTTGTTTTGGTGCAGGTTGAATTCACAGGTTTGGGGTAGCTTGTAAAAATACAGACTAGTTCATGAGTGAATGATTTTTTTTTATGCATCTTGCGGTGTATAATGATGTTTTTGCATTGAAATAGAAAATGCATTGTTCAACAAGAAATTGCAATGGGGCTTAGGGATTTGGGGATATTTTTTTCCATCACTGAATTTAAGCTTAAAATTTACACAACATGTGCAACTTAAACCGCCTAAAACTATACCCACTATATTAAACTGTAACAAAAATTCTGTATTATGCCAATACTGCTCTGATCTCATATTTGCAATGTCATAACAAAAGTTATATTATCAGTATTTAGTTGCTAGCAACATACAGATATGTTAGACTTGTGCTATATTTTAGCTCAAGTACTCAGCGTTCTCTTTTGAGGTTAAGCTACAGCTGAGCACATTTGAGAGAGTCTCAAAATATTTGTCTCTCTTCGTTTTGATTCTTAATTAACTTGAATTTCAAGTCTGTCTCCACCACCGGGTTGATTTTGTCATCGTTACCTCAGTACAGAATTTATGCAATTTTTCAGAAAATTAGCTAACTTTGCATAGCACTATACTTATTATATTATGAACATTATATTTACTATATTGTAAAGTGTTATAGGTGCACTACATTGTATTACATGCCATTTAGTTTGAATACTACTAACCACACTAAAGCTCTATAACACATAGCCATCTCTTTCAAGTGTCTAACAAAAGAGACACATTTTCAAAACTTCTACAAATAAAGCTTTGTAGGGATCGTATGGAAAACTAAGCATTGTATTTTGGCTGTGGTCTAGAAACGTGTGACGTTGTGACAGTACGACTATAGATTGTATGTTTTTGTAGGTTTCCATCACTGTATTTCCCAAGTTACTGTATGCATGTGGCATATGCTGTGAAGTTAGTTTTTTGCTGTGATCAAAGTACTAATGTGACTTAGACACTTACTGTCTGCAACTGTTCTGTTATTTAAATCAATTATGTTAATTTCCATTAGATGTGTATCAACTTATACAGATCTTATGGTACCTGTCCACCTCCGACGAGCTTTAATATTTATAATTTTGTATTACCAAAAGGTGAAACATGCCTAATGTAAAGTTTCATTAACTTTTTTTTATGATGACTTGTGGCATATTTCACTTATTTGAGTATTTAACTGTAGACTTCAGTATAGTTGAATATTTAGTATCCTCATTATTGTAGTTTTGTTTGCCAAAGGCTGATGGTTGGTAAATCCAAATAATAGTGTGCTGTGCATTTAGACTTGGCATTGAAACAAGTATCTGTTTATGATGTATAACATTTATTTAGAACAGCATTGTGTTTTTGTGAGTATACTTGATCCTTTATTGACTATTTCATTTTTTTAGACTAATTTAGATTGTCTGGAAGTATGCTGCCTCCCCAGTTTTCATATGATTTCAAATGTGAGTAAATAAGTAAAACTGAATTTAGCACTGAGGATATAATGTGGTAGGACCTGTCAACATGAAATCACAGATCTGTGCATGTTGTATCAAGGCGCATTATGTCAGGGATTGATTGGAAGGAAAATCATTGGGTTTAAGGAATATTGCCAATTTCAAGATTGTCAAATCCAGTTTCTTACCAAGTTAAGACTTTGATTTGGACCAGTTTAGGTCTTACAAGCAGTTCAATTACCATAAAACAATAAACTAGAATCTCAAATGCATCTTAATGTTTTGTGGCCTCTGACCATTACAAATCTAAAAATCTTTTTAATACTTTTTTGCCCACAGGCTGGAAATAGTTGTCTGACTTTGAGAAACCCTCAACTGAAATAATCAGTTTGTGGCATTGCTGTGCTTTTTTCTGGTATATCATCAACACCTGATCAGTGGTTTCTGGTGATTTTGACATGGAATGACCCCAAAGATATAATGTGAAATGAGCAACTGCATTGTTGAATAGTGTGAAATGGTTTCCGTCCAGAAACGTAAGTTCAGATTTGTTGTAATAATGTTGTATTTTGAGTAAAGCAGCATGCTGGAGCTGTATTACACTACTTGTATTATTTAACCCTATTATGAAAGTGAAATAAAACGCTGATAAAATGCGAACTGTGTGTTTGCCATTTTTTTTTAAAGGTTGTTTGAGATGGAAGCTTGTTGTGCTTTTATAAATTAGAGAAACGTAAGCAGGAAATTAGCGTGAACGCATCAAATGTTTGAACTGAGCAAGTGGATATCGACTGAGCTATTACTAATGTATAATTTCATACATTTACAGATATGCTAGCTTAAATTCTTTATATCTATTATCTGAAATGAAATCTTTACAACACTGAAATCTACTACATTCATCAAATGAGGAGCCATAATCAGGCTTTTGAATTCTGTGGAAGTCTGCAGAGTTTTCTGCAGTTTTCCTCCATAGCAGTAACTGAAGAGATATTTGCTCCATGAAACTCAGCAGTGGACTGATTCTCTTCTGTCTGTTGCAGGTATCTGTCTGGCAGTTCTCCTGGGCCGTACTACAGTAATCACTGTCCCTCGCTGTCTGCACCTGTGTCTGCATCCTCTGCCTTCATCCCAACTCCTCCCCCCAACCTGTCACAGCTGCTCATCCGCCAGCAAAGCCACAGAATGCGCAAAGCCTCGCCCTCCTCGCTGCCTGGGCGACTCAACAGGGCCCTCTCTCTGGGAACTATCCCCTCCCTCGCACGAGCAGGTAAAGCATAAGATAGATAAATCATTCTAATATGCTGATTTGCTGCTTAAGATTTGTGTGGAAACTGTGATAAACTACCATTCAAAACTTTGGGGCAAGTAAGCTTTAAAAAACAAGTTTTATTCAGCAAGGACAAATAAAATTGATCATAGAAGTGAATACATTTATGATGTTATAAAAGATTTCTATTTCAAATAAATGCTGTTCTTTTGAACGTTCTATTCATCAGAAAATCCTGAGAATTGTATTGTGGTTTCCACAAAAAATATTGGGCAGTCTTCAACATTGATAATAATAACTGTTATTAAAAATTAACCACCAATAATAATTGATAATAACTGAGCACCAAATCAGCATATTAGTATAAGTTCTAAAGGCGACACTGAAGACTGGAGTAATGGCTACTGAAACTTCAGCTTTGCCATCACAGAAATAATTACATTTTAAGACGTATTAAAATAGAAAACATTTTATTTAATCTGTAATTTTACAATATTTTACAACATTACTGTTTTTCTGTATATTTAATCAAATACACTTTTTTTAACCATGCATATAACCTGCTGATATATAAATATGAAAAATATTTTAAATAAAACTAATTATAATTAAATAAATATTGCAATAAAACTTAATAGGCTGTGCAATGAATTTGGCTTTTTGTAACATAGTTGTAATAGTCATATAATGTAGAAAAGCCTTCACTTTGTTTGTGAAGAAGTGAGATGTGCTGCTATAGTGAGAGCTGAGAGGCCCCAGGTGCTGTTTTGTGGAACCAGTGCAGAAGTGCATGATGGGAAAGATGTGGGTCACTGACTGACTGAATGCATGGTACAAGGAACTCAGCTCACTCTTCAACCCAGACACTGCCGCACCTAGCAGGGGAATTTTGCCAACTGCCAAAGAAAACTGTGAAGTGTGATTGAGAAATAATCTGTTCAGTATCTCCAGCTACCTGCATGCTACAGGGATTTTCCCACTGCTGATGAGTTTCCAGTTACAGGAAGTGACTGATTTACATTCTTTTATTTTATCTTTGAATTTAAAAGAATGGTGAACCTATAAATAAAATGTGTCATTATTTACTCACTGTCATGCTGTTCCAAAGCTGTATGCTGTTATTTTTTCAGTGGAACAATTTTTCTCTGTCCAGTGACATATATTGACCACAGGCTATCAAACTCCAAAAGTGTTTGAAGCTGTGCGAAGAACATTATTCACTGATAATGCCCTCCATATCAGCTCTCATATCAGATATGATACAGATCAATATGAACTATCAGTGTAGAAAAGATTTGTTTTTTTTTTTAAGTCACATTTTGGAGCAAAATGAGTAAATAACAGAAATGTAATTTTTCGATGAACTATTACTTTAAAGGGGTCATATGATGCTGCTAAAAAGAACATTATTTTGTGTATTTGGTGTAATGAAATGTGTTTATGCGGTTTAAGGTTCAAAAAACACATTATTTTCCACATACTGTACATTATTGTTTCTGCATTGAAATCGCATCATATGACCCCTTTAACAATAATGTTTTGATTCATGTTTATGCATTAAAAAAAAATAGTTACCTAATTGACTGACAGTTTTAACTCTGCATAACCTACCAACATATTGTTCATACTGTATATCAAAAGGGATGGCAGGGGCAACAGCTTGGTTTGCCATAGCTTTTAACTTTGACCTGTCAGTAAACAGGACTTTGTAATACACAGGCTTTTAAAGCCTGGGATCAGGGTGATGTCGGGAGTGGTGTTTAAATGACTGTTGTGAGACGGTAGAAGAATCATGGTTCGTTTCATGTGTGGATCTTCAGACGAGACCAGATGCGATGGCAAACGTCAGCCTCCTGTAATCAGATGCAGTGGCTCGGCAGGTGTGATAAAAAGGGCCAGAGCTTGATCTTTACACTCTTGGATGGATATGTAATGGTGATCTTCAACAGCTAACAAAAGTTTTCATTTAAAAAAATATCACTAAGAGTCCAGTGAGTTCTCTCACAGCTTGTTTTTACAGAAGCATTAGAGTTATCACTCATCTCTCCGTCACACTTCTATAGGAGGTCTTGAAAAGGCTTTTGTGTGAGCAGGGCCTGTTCCTGCTCCATCATGTACCTTCACC